ATAGCTGGGAGATCTCATAAACTCAGGAAAATATTCACAAATGATTTTTAAAAATCACATTTCAGAGAATGTTTCATTCGTTCTTTCATTTTTCTATCAAACCTTTATTTGCACCTCAGCCTTAAAACTTGTCGCTTTTCTTTTTAATTGCCTCTGAAATTAACGCCAGACATTTTGTATCTTTTACAGAATTAATCGAAAATTCTGTTTTATGCTTTTATAAGAAATTATAACTCCAGCAAAAGCCGCTAAAATAGTAGCTACGAATGGCAATAATACTGTTTAGTGTTGCCTTTTACAGCGTTTATTTATATTCTTAATCAATTCGCCCCAAACAAGGCGATGATGCCTCTAAGACGCAAGGGGATATTGGGAGTAAAAGAGAATTAGAAGTCTTTAGTGAGGAGCCGGAAATTCAATCCTAAAGAGGTAACACGGGATAAACTTCTACTCCTGTTCAAAAGGCCAGAAAATAGGCAAAGATTTATTGTTTGGTTCGTGTCACTCTGGACTTATTATTATTATGTTTGAAATGTATTATTTAACTCAGACATCATCGCCCACATTTTGGCGGGTCACAGTACATAAATGATGACTTAACTTTATGTCTACACCATAAAATTAGTCAGCATGCCCTAATTTAAAAATAAAACAAACAATGAAATGTTATTACATTTTGTAGCTAAAAACAGCAGAATTTTTTTCGACACGTTTTTGTTTTAATATTACATAAAATTGTGTCTTTAATAAACAAGTAAGCAACAAATTTACTGACTTGAAAGCAATTTACATCTTTAGTAAGCTTAATGGAGGAACTCAACTCTGCCAGCCTTGTGTCACACTAAGTTAAGCACAGGAAAAACCGACAAGATTGTTTCGCCGTAGGGAACTTCTTTGCTGATTATTTCAACGATTGTGATTTCGATTCTTACTCGGTTACTCAGATATGTGCCAGGCTAATATATGCTTGGAAAATATTAACTTACATGCTTGTTTTTGCTTACTTTCGTATCTTATAAATGCCATTTTAGATCAGTTCCATGAGATTATTAGCAAGCCCTATAGAAACCATCTCAGGTGAATCAATAAGATCTATCCAATCCTTTGCTTACATAGGAAGCGAAATAAATTCTACTGCAAAAGATACGATAATTCGCATATCTGAAGCCTGGGATGCCTTGAATAAAATGGATACAATCTGGAAATCTGATTTACCAGACAACCTCAAACGGTGCTTCTTTCGCGCCACTGTAGAGGCGGTTTTAATGTATGGTGTTACTATTTGGAGATTAACTAAAACCCAAGAGTACAAGCTCGGATGTTAAGAGCTATACTTATCTCTTGGAGACAAGATCCAACTAAATAACAGCTCTATGGATCCATCCCTGATATTTCTAGAATCTTACGCGAACATAGAACGCGTTTTGCAGGACACTGCTGGCGAGCATAAGAAGAACGCGTGAGAGATCTATTGATTTGGACACCTAGCCATGGTTGATCGCACAGCAACCACCTACATTGGCCAGATATGTTACGACACAGAATGTCACCCAAATGACCTTTCGACCTTGATGTAGTATCGTGATGGTTCGCGTGATAAACTCATGAGTGTCCGAGCTAGCACGATCAAATAAACAAAAAAAAAAAAAAATTAAAAAAAAAGTTTTAGGCATTATAACATCGATTATTTTTCACTTCCAAGAAGACACGTGTGCGGGCATTGGGCTTAACGTGTATGAGAGGGGAAACGCATAATCGCGATCTTCTCAAAGGAATGTAGGATGTCATGGGTAAGGCCGGAGTGTATGAGGCCAAAACATAGTGATAGGAAATTAGTCTAAACTAACCTACAGTAAAATAACTTCTAAAAATAATTCGAGAGGCTATATTTAGTGCTATAATCTTTTCCTGAGTGATTCGGGCAATATGCAAACTTGCATTATCGTGTAAGAGCAACATGTCTTTACTATTAAGAAATGATGGACGCCTTTTGTGTAAATTTTCGTGAAGTGCTTTCAATTGACAATAATACACCGCATTAACGATTTCGTTTTTGTGTGGACGCCACGCTGACGATGATCATCACGCAGCGCCAAACAGAACATCATTTTTTTTCGAGTGTAGTCCTGGTTTGGAGATGTATGCTACTTTTTCAGTGGGTGCTAACCATAGTCATTTTCGTTGGATATTGTTATAGAGAACCCACTTTTCATCGCTACTGGTGATTCTACCCAGTAAAGGTTCGGTAGTAAGTCTACTCTTCAATGACGTGCAGAAGACAGCACTCTGATCAAGCTGAGGAGTAGTCAGATGGTGAAAGACCTATAGACCAAGTTTAGACATTTTTCTGAGGTGTTTTATGATCAAAGTATATTTTATCATCAAATTATGTGTTATGGTAATTTCTTCGCCCAAGCATGGACTCTCCCAGCTATAAATAGGAGCAGGTACTGCCTTTTGGAGAGAAAAGTTTCTAGCAGTCACCTCTGACAGTCGGACAGAACATTCTTGCTGTAACACTCTCGTTTGCATATGTGTCTATTACTGTTTTCTGTTAATATATATATATTTTAACTCAATTCCTCTCTTGTGTCTTTGTTTCTGGCCCTAACAAGGCCAGAACAGTCTGTTTTATCAAAGTATGATCAAATTATGTTTTATGATCTAAATATGATCAAGGTAAGTTTTATGATCAAAGTATGATCCAAATATGTTTTATGATCAAAGTATGTTTTAAGATCAAAGTATGACCAAAGTAAGTTTTATGACCAAAGTATATCTCATGATCAAAATATCCAATTATGTTTTATCAAATTACGATTAAAGTATGTTTTATTATCAAAGTATGATCAAGTTATGTTTTATGATCTAAGTATAATCAAAGAAAGTTTTATGTTCAAAGTATATTTTATGATCAAAGTATGATCAAAGTATGTTTTAATATCAAAGTATGACCAAAGTAAATTTATGATCAAATTATGATCAAAGTAAGTTTTATGATCAAAGTATGATCAAAGTATGTTTTATGGTCAAAGTATGATCATGGTATGTTTTATGACTAAAGTATATTTTATGATCAAAGTATGATCAAAGTATGCTTTATGAGCAAAGTATGATCAAATTATGCTTTAAGATCGAAGTATTGAACTATTATGATAATTCTCCTTCAGTTTGTTTAGCATTTGTCTCAACTACAATTTACAGAAGCCCAATAATGAAAGAACTATATCGATGACATGCTCGTACACGTAAATCATAATTTCCATAAACGAAGCTAAGATTTTTTGTCACTTTTGTTGCTGAAGAGGCCATTTTGAATTCATACTACACATATCTTATATGTGTCTGCCCTAAACTGATTTTAAAAAGGTAAAAGCGAAACAAAATTTACCCACTCTGATATTAAGTCATCTGTGGAGCAAAGTAAACAACAACATTAAAACGTAAACATTAACGATTATTTTACAGTAAGTATTGAACAAGTAATCATGTAATAAATACAACTGGACTTTCTTTCCAACTTATCAGTTAATGTTTTCTTAGTTTCTTAGATGAATCATTTTCATTATTAATTTTGATGAATGCCTCTTATTACTGTTTATTTCAATAATGAGGTCGTTTTACATTCTACGATCGTAAACATGTAGCGTGAATCGGAAAGACAGAGTTAGACGTTAACCATATTTGAACTTTCAATCTATATTTTTGGGAGCTTGTCAGACTTGGACGTTGTCTTATTGTATTGTCTTATCAACTAGATGGCTAAGTTCAAATAAAATCATCCAGCACCTGTTATTTTCCATTCGATGTTGTTCAGGCCATATTGTTTGTTTACACTCAAATAGTGGTAGACGTAATATCTTTGTCGGAATTTCTTAGATGAACGTTTAACTTATTGTTATTGTTTATCACAAATAGCAGGTCATTTTATTCTACCTCCGTGAAGTAAACATCATGGATAGGAAATAAAATTCATGAAGTAAATCCAGCACAGCAGTAAGTAAATATTATGAACTTGGCCATCGACCAATGATTAATAAGTCATTGAAACTGATAGATCATTACTATTGCAGTTCGATCCTCATTGGGTGACACATATTTATGAATATGCTAAGCGAAGAAAATGTCTTGACGTAACCTTAATAGTTTAGTTTTCCTTGAAGACCATTGTAATCAAGTCAATCCTCAGTGGGTACCCTATATTTGTAGTCTTATGTTAAACTTCGAGTAGTATTAAGAAAATATATGTTCTTGTGTCATACTTAGCGATACTAGAATAATAGGTAACTCTCTAGTTTACTAAATCAATAGAGTTGTAGTCAGTTTGATGATCGCCACTGGGTGCTCCATAGTTGCAGCCTTTTGCCATGCTATGTTTTTAAGGATTTCTTGTTTCGGTAGTGGTTAGCTAGTTTCGCCGATCATTTTCTTTCAAAATGCCATCTTCCTTTGTGTCATGGTCTGTTTAGGGCCAGAAAGAAAGACATGGAAGACGAAGTTAGGTTGAAAAAGTATATTGAAGATATATACAAAACAATAGTGTTAGTAATAAGTAGATTATCACTGCGTCTACTACTCCACTCCACTTCACACTCTGCGCTCGGGTCCGACTCTCGCAGTTTGTATTTATGAGAGAAGGAAGAGTTCATTATACTGTAAGAGGGTTTACCACAACACTTTGGATAATAGGAAATCATTTCCCTTCACAGCTTCGTTTTCTTTATTATGTGTGAAATTTCATGCATTATTAGGGAAGACAGTAGAATTGCGTTCCGTTGCCTTCTCTACGGTTTTGAATTCATAGTTTTCCTTCTACTAGATTGGTTGCCTTACCAAGGCGAGAGAAACAAGTTTATCCAGTTATTTAACGCAGCGGTCCCCAACCACCGGGCCGCACACTGGCACCTAATTTTTGGCACCTGGCCGCACACTGGCACCGGGTCGCACACTGGCACCGGGTCGCAAACTGGCACCGGGCCGCACACTGGCACTGGTCGCAAATGGCACTGGGCCGCACACTGGAACCGGGCCGCACACTGGCACCGGGTCGCAAACTGGCACCGGGCCGCACACTGGCACCGGGTCGCAAACTGGCACCGGGTCGCACACTGGCACCGGGCCGCACACTGGCACCGGGTCGCACACTGGCACCGGGTCGCAAACTGGCAACGGGCCGCACACTGGCACCGGGTCGCACACTGGCACTGGGTCGCACACTGGCACCGGGCCGCACACTTCGGGCCGCACACTGGCAAACACTGGCACCGGGTCGCAAACTGGCTAATGGCCGCACACTTTACACCGGGGCAGCACACTGGCACCGGGTCTCAAACTGGCACCGGGTCGCAAACTGGCACCGGGCCGCACATTACACCGGGCCGCACACTGGCACCGGGTCGCAAACTGGGACCGGGCCGCACACTGACACCGGGCCGCACACTGGCACCGGGTCGCAAACTGGGACCGGGCTGTGGACCATTTTGTACCGGACAGCATAAAAAATATTTTTTCCCACTTTATTGACTATCGCGGTTTGTTTGTTTTTTGTGTTTTGTTACGCGCGTGACTCTGCCTCGAGGTCAGTGGGAATATTGTTTTGCATGACATCGGTGAGTGGCGCCAAAAGTTTGGAGACCTCTGATTTAACCTATAGCTTGGAATAGAAGAGATAAATTTATGCTTTTCTCAAGGGTATTAATGCGAAAGTGAACACAACAAAATTGGGTGGGGTTCGAACCCTGCTCGCCGGTTCCAGTTTTCATGCTGATAACCTTCACGCTACTATTACCAGTTTAAATTTGAACCTCACTTGACATCCAGCACGCATGGATTTGTGTTTCTCTAAGACAAGAGGCACCTTACGTTTGTTAATTATTCTTGGTTGGTTAGTTTGTGTCCTGGGCCACAATTAGGAGACAACCAGTGAGTATCGAACTCATTACTCAGTTGTCATCATCCGTAGGACCAGATTGTTCATCCTTAAACCACGACGAGGTACATTCTCATGTAGTGTTTAGTTAACTAGTTTAACATAGGATTTCTACTGTAGTGAAGTCTAATCTGGAGACGATTAGGCAATGTGCGACTAATACGCTGTTTACTTTCGGAAACGACTGTTTTGCTATTTCAGTTTTCTCACTAAAGATAAACACAACAAATTGTATTGTTTCGTTTTTTTTTTGAATGCATAGTTTATAAATACATTCGTTTCCAGTGTTGATTGTGTAAAGTTTTGAGTGGGTGTGTTTTTTTTTTCTTCTCTCAATGATTCCCGTGCATTTTCTTGTTTTGAGAAAGCAAAGATTCAAATCGTTTGGAATTGCTTGTTTATTTTTACAACCGAGAAATGGCGGAGATAACAAAAGAAATCAAAGCAATAGGAATCATTTCCAGCACAAGTTTACAAGATCTTTCTTTCTTTTTTTAAAGAACAAAGGAAAACTGTAGAACATCATGAAATAATACCCTGTAGGACGTGGAAATGGACAAATCCTCTTTGGTTGATGCAAATGTTTCCAGCATGTTTTAAAACTGACTCTCATATTCACAAAGATTTGTATCACCGTTATTCATTCACATTCCCACCGCCGTAACGTAAATTCCCTGTGCCATTTCTATAGATACTTCCATGGTAATTGTTCTGAGGAACTTTCTTCTTTGATGATTATAAAGTAGAAAAGCACTACTTACACATAGTTAGAGATAACAAATTAAAGACAAATTATTAGAAAACATCTCTAACTACGCACCAATTTACGTCTAGCGAAGTCACACAGACGCCGCACTCTACTCAAAACAAATTTTAAAAGAAGAGTGCTGGCAATTATCGACGCGACTCTCGCTTGCCACAGATGTCTACAACTACCTCAGTTTCCCTTATATAGACTATAACAGAAAACGGACAACGGGGTGGAGGGTAGAGAGAGAAACTTCACACACGCTTACCACAGAGGCCACTCGAGAACACGGCTGACTTCTTTTTTGACCATTAGGCTGTGAAAACGACCTCCTGTAAACAAAGAAGGAAAACGGACACCACTATCAACGCGACAAGCCCAAACCGTTAGCCAACAAGCAGACAGCCGGATTAAGCATACTCCTTTTTACGTTCTCATTTCACACCTCGCTTTGAACGCTATTCTATACGACTTACCAAAGACATTTTCATATCTTGTAAATGGAAATAAATCTTCGGCGATTTCTCCAAACCACCGCCTAAATTGTTTCTTTACTCGAATCAACTTCCACCTCGGATTACTTAAACTTTATGAATTTAAGCGCAGTAATAGATTTGTGGCAAGGTCTTATGTTATAGTTAAAATGGCTAGATGTAAGTTCTATGTTAACAGTTTCTTTTCTTGCACTTCTCCTTTGTGGAACTTTCTTCCGGTTTCATGCTTTATACACAACTTTGATCTTCAAAAATTTAAATGTAATGTCAGTCGTTATCTTTTGTATTCATATTTCCTGCTATTTTATTGTTCTTTCTCTCCTTTATAATGTTTTCTTTTTCTTATATTCTCACACACTCAGTAACCTCCTTGCGTATTAGTGGTTTTATTGCCTTGCTTTGATGAATAATCCGAGGAATTTTCCAATATCTTAAAATAAAAATAACAGTAAAACAATTGAGTGTGATGGTGAGAGATATGGAGGAGACACTGCATGATCGTTTGTTCTGTTGCATTAGCAACATGAGGACGACCGTTGTTATGTTCTTAAAAAGGTGCATTGGCTTCCAATGAATCATTCAAAGGAGTCAATTGTTCAATGTGCTAACAGTAGGTCCAGGTCCCATTGATTTGTAATAGATTTGAATCTCATCAAACCGTGAGAAGAAATTTGTTCCTCAGTAGATTTCAGGTGTGTGAGGACATATCATCATCTGAGTTTAAAAATTTTTTTTTTGAAAGAAAGATTAGCATTGAAGTTAAACATCTTTTGAAAGAAGCATTGTATACAGTGGCGGGAGGTAATTTAATGTTGAGGCCGACTACTCACCAAGAGTATACAGTTCTGCAGAGCTGGATTCACTTTGGCTTGCAGAACTAGATGTCTACATGATCTTGTAGTTATTTTTCGCAGACGGCAACTTGAGATTCCGAAGTTGTTTGGAGACCATGATTGAAGGCAATGGCGATTTTATTGAATAAATTTACTCTTTAGTATTTCAAGACATTTTTGTGTAATTTTGGTAAATATGTCTGTTAAAATGAGATATCAGTGTTATTTTCATTCTGCAGGATATGCAACTAACCAATAAAAAAAAATTAAAACGCGTTATTTTTATTTTTACAAAAAAATTATTTGCATTGGCAACCATATCAAACAAAAATACAGTGTAAATGTAAGGATTCACTTACTTTTTGCACATCTTAATTTTTAATTAATATTTGCTTGATAAATTTTGTGGAAGTGTTTGTAATTTGATTAATAAACGCTTTTCTTAATGAATATATAGTTTAATTGAAGGTTTGTTGAATATCTGGAAAAAAAGAGACAGTTTTTTTTTTCATAATATCTTAGAGCTTCACTTACTTTCGCGCTGTAATGTACCTTGTGGAATATAGAAACTCTGTAATTCACAGAGAAAGTAGCTGATGGTACCGAGACAGAAACTGAGTCACAATAACTCCTATGTCTACACCAGAAGAATTGCTAATTAATGTCGCTTCTCGTGTCATACGACATGTGTGACAATAATTCTTCGAACAATCCATAAAAAAAAAAAAAACATTTTCAAAGTAATTTGGAATTGTTTACAAGGCAGAAGTGCGAGGCTGACATCTAAGTTATTTAAAAATAGATGAGAAAGTGGATTTGTGCCTTTTCCAAGAGTTAAGTGAACGCAAATACGGAAGCTTCTAGAGAGGTTGTAAGAAGAAGGCGAGTAAAAGGGCCTAACAATCAAGAATAAAGAAAGTATGGTCATCCTCAAATGAAAAGACCCAAGATACAAGTTGCGTATTGGATATGTAAACATCATGCAAGTGAAGAAGTTCAAATATCTGGGAAGCATTTTAACAAAGGATGGAAAATGCGGCACCGAGATTCGAACACGCATTTGACTAGAGCGAAATATGCATTCTAAAATTTAAGCAAGGGGCTGAGAAATGGAAAAAAATCGTTAGAAACAAAGAAAAGAGTGCTAGATAGCTATGTGGTATCCTTCCTCTTGGACAATTTACCTGGGGATAAGGAAAAAAAAAAAAAAAAACTAGTAGTAGTTCTGCAGAAGAATAATGAAAATTCCATGGACGGAACGAATAAGTGACAAGGAAGTCTTAAATAAAATGGCAGCCAAAAGAATACTTATACTCAAAACCAGGAACAGAATGCTGAGATTCCTTCACATAATGAAGAAGGATGGGCTGGAAAACTTAACCCTTCAGGGAAAGAAAGATAGGGGGAGGCGGCAAGCCACTTACCTGACGAGCTTGTGTGAATAGATGGCTGAACGGGGGCGGGGGCATTTGCCAAGGGAAAACATCTGCTAAGAGCCACACCAGATAGAAAGATAGAATCATGATCAATTATATCATAAAGGGACGCGACACATAGAAGAAGAAGAATAATGCAAACTGCCTCGGTCTGAGTCCATTCTACACACTTTTAACTGTTAAGTCACTTACGCCTCCTCTCAAATTATTAGAAATAGATCAATATTAGAGAATAAGATATTTGATAGAATTATCGCATTCAAAATATCTAAACTGAGGATAAGTGTTATGGTCCAGGTTAGGACCAAGGAAGAACAACACGAACACAAGAGTAGAAATAACGAAGGTATATTACACGAAATAATAATACAAGATGTGGAAGGTGTTAGTATGACTGTCAGTCTGGTTTGGAGTGAACTACTGTCGGCTCGACTCGATTCGACCCTACTTTCACTAGGACAATAACTACAGAAATATACATCAGCTCAGACAGGCAGATAATGAACTTTAAAATTCTCTAGGACGGACGGCGGCCATGATAGTTATAAGAACCGGAAGAGCCTAGACAGCAAATTAAGTAAAGCGTTTTCATTCAACATTCCTGGAAAGACACCAGAAAGAGACTGGATGGTAGATCGATCGAAACGTTCTGATAAAAACAACAATAAAATTGTATAATATTAAAATAGTTTACAATGAAACATAGAAAAGCAATTCACTTTCAATTTAAGAATTCTTCCATTAGGATAGGATATTATTCTAATATCCTCTACAATTTTGGATATTTTTCATGTTTGGAGCGAAGAATTGTTCCTAACTCTTCCCAACATACACATATTTCAATATAAATAAACTATTATTCATGCATATAAATCATCTAGGAGGTTTTGCCCTTAAAACTGGACCTGTCAGTAACATCATTTATTCGCGATCAGGGAAAATAAATTATTTTCTTCGTGGTGTGCAATGAGTTTCTACAGTAAAATAAATTACTGTGCTTTAAAGCAAAATCATTAGCAAGAGAAAGAGTAAAAAAATGAGTAAAAATAAATCCACAT